GTGAGCCTCTTCCTTTCACCACACTCTTCTGCAATGATGTCTTACCTCCCCTTGAGCCCTATAGAAAGAAGCTGGCTGTCTGTGGACTGAGACCTCTAATACTGTTCTTGTCAGGTCTTTTGGTCATAGCAGCGAAAAAGCTGACTAAAACAACTATCTGCGACAAAATAGTAGGCCAACAGGTGATGGCCATGTGGAACGAAATCTGAGGGAATCTCAGGTTTCCGGATGCTACTTAAGTGCCTTCGGGCTAAAATTTGCAAAATCAAATGGGCAAGTAAGTATGGCCATGACAATTTAAATAGATGAAAAGTGGGTAATTGCACGCTGCTTTTTATCCTGCCACATATTGCATTAAAAGTTACTGTCTAGAGCCATCTTCTTGGGAAATAGGTGAGGTTAAATAAGTGACGATTTTTAAACCATACCCGAGGAGAGAGCCATGGAACTACATTCTTTAGCTCCTCTAAAGTCCAGCCCAGGGCTCTGACCATTACAAACTCGATGCATATTTGCTGAGTCTATTAAATGTATGATTGTAAACACAATTCCTATCTCTCCATTAAAATTGAAGAGAGCACAATGAGAAAAATTATCTTAAAATGTAACCCAGAATGAAATACAAGTCATTTCAATTTACTTCTTAATTAGCTTGAATAACATATTGTTGTTATTCGTCTTAAACTTGTGTAATGATCATGAGATAGATAGTGGAGGATATTTGCAGTAGGTTCTCTAGGTTGTGTTAATAAAAAAAATCTTCCTGTTGCATTAATATATTGTTACCTTTTGCATAAAGTGCTCAAAAGATCATTTTCAGGGTTTGTTTTAGAGATGTCAAGGGAAATGCTTTGGCTATAAAATCAAAATTAGGATCCCCTTTTGAACTTCAAGCTAAAGAGAGTAACCCATTGAACATACATGCATCTCAAATGTTCCAGGGCCTCAGAATGTTGGAGACTGTCAGGTCATGAATAAAGTTTGGTGCTCGGTAAATGCCGAGTTGCAGATAGACTAGAGCAATGATTCCAGGTAGCCTGTCCATTCGCTTTTGACTATCTGTATGACTGCAGAAGGCAACACAAGCAAGACCCTCCCACTGCTGAGTGGGTTTTAGCAGGAGCAAGAAGAGCTCTGTAGTTTGTATACAAACACTTCCAATCACGAGTCACTCTCACCACCAAAGCTGGGTCAACAATAGCTTTTGGAAACTTGAATTTCCAATGACAAGAGTTTATTTTTTTTTTATTTTTTATTTTTTAGAAAGAAGATTTAGTGTGAACAAGAAATTCAGACCAAAATTATAGAAGACCTACTAGCCACCAACTGTGGTTCTTTTTCTCCCCACCTAAAATTTTTCTTTTCTTTTCTTTCTTTCTTTAAATTTTTGAACCTGTCCTGCAAAGCCTCCTTCTCTTACCACCACAGAGGCCCGAGCTGCAACCAACCTTGGGCTTCCACTTGCATTCCTGGTAAGTAACCACCGACTCTCCTTCCCCTAAAGAACATCCCGTGCTTCTCCAGGGCTCATGCATTTCGAGATGAGATGGCTTGACACTTGGCAGGTCCTGGATGAATCTCACCTTCTGCCCTCTATGTGTGTCATCAAGAAGCTTGTCATTTTATTGGGGCTAACTGAATTATATGGCGCCTGTCTTGGGGCTACAATATCAGTTGCCTGACAAGTTCAAAGTCATAGGTACACTATTGGAGTTGGCATCAGAAATTTGTTCTTAGGCTTCCTAATTTTCCAACTTAGCTCCTTGTCTATAGCCAACACTCCAAGTGGGGATAGATGGTGGCTTCTATCCCATGGTGGTCTGGATCATCTGGACCAAGGCCTGTGAAGTGCATACAGCAGGGGACAAAGGAAGTGTCACAAAGGCTGGCTCTTGTTATTATGACAAATGATTTAGTACACACGAGAGATTTCTTTTTTTTTTTTTAGAGAGACACACACAGAGAGAGAGAGAGAATTTTTTAATATTTATTTTTTAGTTTTCAGTGGACACAACATCTTTATTTTATTTTTATTTGGTGCTGAGGATCGAACCCAGAGCCCCACGCATCCCAGGCGAGCATGCTACCACTTGAGCCACATCCCCAGCCTGAATTTTTTTATTCTCCCTTTCTCTCAAAACACTAAAGACATCTCTATGTGCCTCCTTATTACCAGTTTATAAAATGGCACATTGAATATCTTTCAAAGCACTTACTTTGTCAAATCCTTCTTACCCACAACACTAGTCAAAAGCAACCTTCCTCCATCCAAGTTCAACCTCACATCTCAGTCCCCACCCAAAATCATGGTCAGACTCTCATAGTACCCTGGGATCTCATGGGTATCGAGGTCCCCAGGGAAAATTTGTCCAATTCGTGATTTCATGGAGAGTGATTTTTTCTTTTCTTTTCTTTTCTTTTCTTTTTTTTTATGTGTTAGTCCGCAAAACTAAACTTCAAAATTTTATAAATATCAGAACTCATTTCTGATAAGTGGGACAGTGAACAATGGGTGACAGGTGATGTCTTCAGGTTATTCTTTCCCAAATAATGTAATCTCTTCACTTCACTCTTATTTCCCTAGAGATTTTAAAATTTTTATTTGATTATTCACTTTTAAAATGACACACATATATGTATGTATGTATGTATGTATGTATGTATATGTAATATGTATAACATGGTGTTTTGAAGGATGTGTCTATATTGTGCAATGACTAAATCAAGCTAGTTAGCATATGAACTACCTCACCTACCTTTTTGGTGGAAAGAATGCTCTGTTAACAGTTTTCAAGAATAGAATACATTGTTCTTATCATATTGCACAGTAGTGCTCTTGAATTTCCTCCTCCAGATAAGGGAGAACTTGCAGCCTTGGAGCTCCTCTCCGGCCCTCCCACCCCCAGCTTTTAGTAGTTGCTGTTCTCTCTCTTGGACCTAAACAATGTTCAGATCCTCTCTGTGTTCGACCCTGCACTATCTGTCTTTCCACGCCTGGCTTATTTCATTTGGCACTGTGTCTTCCAGATTCATTCATTCACGTTCTGGCTCATAACGGGATCTCCTTCTTTTGTGAATGCAGGGGATGCTGTTCTATTGGGAATGTATACCACCTTGTTTTCTTTATGTAGTCCTCTGTGGAGGCACGCTGAGATTCGTTATTGTGATGAGCACATGAGGACCTCATCAACATGCTGATTCCACTTTTCTTTGGAGATATATATATATACATAATAGGGCTTATTGACTGTCCACGTTGTGTGTATTCTTTAAGTACTGCCTCAAGTATTAACTGTTGCTTTTATATACAGTGAATATTTGTTCCTGATATTGTTTCTCCTCTATAGATTCAATTCTTAGTTTGTGGAGAAACCTACACACTTTTGCATAGTTACAGCACTTCTGTGCCTTCACACCAGTGTGCGAGGGTTTCCCTTTCTCTCCATCTTTGCCCACACTCCTCTGCTGTGTTTGTGATACAGCCTGGTAAAGGTGTGAGATGGCATCTCAGCAATTCTCTGATGATGACTCATGTTGAATATCTTTTTCATCTGTCTGTTGACCATTTGCATGCCTTTGTTTAAGAAGTGCCTGTCCAGGTGTTTTTGCATTTAATTTGAGCTGTTTGCTGTCTTACTGGTGAGTTGTTTAAATTCTGACACATTTTTGATATTAGCCCCTTATCAGGTGGGTAGCCTACAGATATTTTCTCCCATTCTATTCGTGATTTCATCACTTTTTGATTATCTCCTTTGCTGAGCAGATGTTTATGGTTTGCTGTGATCCCCTTTGTCTATTTTGGGTTTTATGCCTGTTCAGAATTCTGTCTGTAAACTCAGGTCAGAGCATATGCATATTTTGTCTTTCCTGGTAAGTGGCCTGCTGAATTTGGAGTGCTGTGCTTAGATTTGGTGATGATTCCACTGTTTTTTTCCTCATCCACCTAACATTTGCCACTTTCTCTGTTTTCTCCACCATTCAGATGAGTCTCCAGAGGCAGAATCTGTGGCAGCTCAACCTTGAAGCTCTGCTCCCACCCTAGCACCAGCCACGTTGATCGGGGAGTCCACTCCAATCTACCCTCAGGCCTCAGCTCCTTAACTTCTTCTCTTCTGTGCATTCCATGTGGTTTGATGGCCTGCAAAGGCTTATGCATTGCTTATGCTTAGGCATTGAAAGCTTGTTCCTTGCTGTGGCGATGTTGGTAGATGGTGGGAATTTTAGGAGGTGGGGCCTAGTGAGAGGCGATTAGGCCCTTGGAGGTATGCCATGCAAAGGGACCCTGGGACCCCAGTCTCTTCCTCTCCCTCTTTGCTGCCTCCTGGTCCTGACCTAAATAGTACTTTGCTATACCATGTGCTTTCACTAAGATGTACTATACGTCACCACAGGCCTAAAGCAAGGCTGTAATGGGACTGGAATCTTCAAAAATGTAAACCAAAGTGAACCTTTTCTCTTTATAAGGTGATTATCTCAGGTGTTTTGTTCAAGTGATAGAAAACTGATGGATACAGCTGGTGACACCTGCAGCCGATTCCCATCAAGCTTTATCTGTGCAACATGCCTATGTTATTATTAATAATCCTTATTTCACAGATTTGCACACTGAGGCAGAGGTGACAGAACCAGGATCCAGAGTCAGGCAGTTTCCATGAGAACCTAGACTCCTACTGATTGCTTTCATTGGCCCATTGAACTGCGAACACACAAGATGGAGCAGGGAGCTGCTGCTCTAGGAGTGGGTAAGGTCTCTGCGGAAGGATGTGTTGAGGGAATGATGAGAACCTAGATGGATTTCTTACAGATGGGGTGGCAGAGGGTGCCAGAGGGTGCCAGGATGCAGACAAAGAGGAGGACACCCAGGACGCAGTGTGATAAGGAGAGCCAAGGGGAAAGAATAGTTCCTGGATGGAATCCCACATGTCTTGATAGACAAGATGAGTGTCACCAAGTGTGGTCGGCTTTAGGGACGTGAAAGCTCCTGTTGACCTTGTGCATCTGGTATTTTAAGAACTTGTCATGCTGAAGTAGCCGCCAACGTTCACCCTGAGACTTTTGTTTTCTAGATTTAGAATTTTAGAGCGTATCAAATTCTAACGTGGTAATTCCTTAATGTGCACTGGTATTCTGTTTTCATTTTATCATGCATTGCACTTATAAGCCGAAATATACTTATGCACTTAAATAAGATTTTTCTCTGCCTAAATTGCCAATCTCCTGAGAAAAATCTGATAAACTAAATTTTAATTAATCTCCGTTATACCCTTCTCATCTTTCCTCAGATGAATTAATTTCTTCCCGTAGCAACTTAATACCTAGCTCACTTAGGCGCTGGATTTTACCTTAGATTCTGTTACTTGTTTCTTCCATTCTCCACCCATTGGTATTTTTCCCCCCCCAAATTATCACATTTTTAAACGCAGTTGCTTCTTTCCTAAGATCCAGGTGATGTTGATCTATTTTTCACATTTTTTAAAATTCACCAAGATAATCTTTATCAGGTACTGGGCCTTGGAGTACTGAGCTCAGCCAGGCATCATCCTGGCCATTACGTCTATCAATCAAGCAAAGGCGACAGAGCAGTGAGCACAGGGACAGTGGATCTTAGGGATGTCCTTGCTCCCGCTGGAGAAGTCGATTGTAGTGCAAGAGCGTGTACTTTTGAAATGCTGTCTTGTCCCAATCCTGAGGCCCTGGCTGGGAAAGGGTCAGTTCATGTTCTTCAGGGGATGACTAAGTCCCTACCGTGTGACTTGATCTTGACATGATCTTGAAGCTCTTGGAACTTCAGTGGCCACGATTTCGCAGCGACCATACTTGGTGACCTTCATCTTGTCTGGCAAATAGTTGAACGAAAGTCGTCACAACAATTTACTCTGGTTTGGTGACATATTAAATTGCCTGCTGATGGAGATACATGGTAACTGAGTCCTACTAAGCCCCTCTTAGCTGATGTCGTCAAAATGATATTATTTAGGAAGTGAAGAGCAGAGAGGAGTTTGTCTAAGGAGGGTCAAGCACCAAAGGTTCAAGACTGAGGGGTGGCCAGGTGCAGGGGCACACATCTATGATCCCAGCAGCTCTGGAGGCTGAGGCAGGGAGATCATGGGTTCAAGACCAGCCTCAGCAATTTACGGAAACCCTGAGCAGCTTAGTGAGCCCCTGTCTGTAAATCAAAAATAAATCAGGGGCTTAGGAAAGTGGCTCAGTAGTTAAATACCCCTAGGTTCAAAAAATCAATAAATAATGAAGACTGAGGGGCGGGCAGCAAATGAAGATTTTGGTGAGAACAGGGGGGGCTGGGATACGGCGAGTGACAGTGATGGGGGTGCCGTGTAATGCTCCAGAGCCACATCTTAGAGTATCTTATTGCATTAGATAGGGGGCAGAGACATCGTATAGAAGTCCAGCTGGTGGACAGTGAATTGTCTTCTATAACCGCACTGGTTTTCTAGACCCCCCCCCCCGCCCGAAACCTCTTTTCCCAGTTCAACTTGCTATTGCTACAGTTCTCTAAGGCACCCAAATGGGAAGTTTTCATCTTCGGGGAAAGTGAGCTGCTTTTGCCATCGCTGAACCCTCCGTCCAGCTGTCCCCTGACTTGCTTACCTATGCGGGTTGATGGAGTGACCCTCTTGTTTCGGGATTTGGTTCTACCTGTTAAGGGGTAAGCCGAGGAGACACGGGGTCCCTTGAAGAGGTAGAAAACGAAAACAAGAATAATGTAACCCCGTGAGGCTCCGAGATAACAGGAGGCTAGAGATCTTAGGAGAGCATTCCTGAGAGACGGAAAGGAAGATAAAACCCAAGGCACCCAGTCAGCCGGACACGTGCCTGTGAGATGAGGGAGTCCATCATGGCCAGTGGTGCGGACATTCTGACAATTCTTTTCTCAGACGATAACATCCTACCTTTGGGAGGACGAAGACAGAGCATGCTCCATGAGCTTCTCAGATTTTAGGTCTCTTCGCAGCCACTAAATCAAATGGAAACTTTTTCTCCAGGGGAAAAAAAAAAAAATCATCATTTTTTTTTTTTTTTTTTGGATTTAAAATAAGGGAATCAGTGGCCATTTAAATTCATTCAAGTCTAGCCAGGTGCCGTGGCGCACACTTGTCAGCCCAGTGACTCAGGAGGCTGAGGCAGGAGGATAGCAAGTTGGAGGCCAGCTTCTGCAACTTAGCAAGAGCCTGTCTCAAAATAAAATTTAGACAGGACTGGGATGTAGCTCCGTGGTAAAACACTCCTGGGCTCCATCCTCGGTGCCAGAAAATGATAATAATAAAATCCACTCAAAGCAGGTAGTCATGAAACTTGCTTTGAATGGTTAGGTGAGGCGGATGGTTTTGTCTCTGTGGAATTAGCACGGAATTCACCCAGCTCAGGAGCCGAGGACCAATGCCACAGTGTGCAGGGTAGGTGGGCCAAGGGACCTTTGCTTCCCATCATGACGAGCTCCTAGAATCTCTACTGTTCTGATTGCAAAAGGTCCATTTTTGAAGAGTGAGAAGTTCAGGTTGGGTGACTGAAGGGCTTCTCCAGAAGATGCAAGCAACCTCTGTTGACAAAATGACACAGACCACCTTACTAACGAATTCAAAATCCCTAAGGAAGTACGTGAGGTTCCAAGCTTGGTTAGAGGTGGGACACTCTCTCAGATGAAACAGAACAGGATTTTGAGAAAAATCAAGCTATTACCAAAATATCGTCAAAATTTTTTAAGGAAGCCGCATCTATCCTACAGGTATTTTATAATTTTTTTTTTTTTTTGGAACGACTATCCTGCTGATCATAGAAAAGAATAAATTAATTAAAATATCTTCAACGTCCCTTTCCATCGCTGTGACTGATAAAAATATATTGCAAACCTCGACCCAAAGAGTTGTTGTAAACTCAACCTAAAAATATAACCAGGAAGCATTTCCAATTCCCCTCTCAGGGATTGTAATGATCATAGGAGGCATTTCTTAAGATGCTGTGCAGTCGCTCACCCTTCAATCAAACAAAGCCCCGCTCTCTAGCCTTCACTCATTTTCCTAGGAGACCACAGCTGCTATTCACAACCCACAGTCATAGCATTGACTAAGTAGTTCTGGAAAAGCAACTCAACGCAAGGAAATTGTGAAAATTCTAAGAATTTACCAGGATGTCAACCTACCCACTGCACTGAGTTCAAGCACAAGGAAAATATTGGGTACATGTATGACTGCCACAGGATCAGTTCTGTGACTTTCATGAAACTTTTGTCTCTTCCCGGACTCTGGCCATTTTAGTGAGTGGCACCTTCAGATTCGAGTACACACTTGGCATCTAAGACCCTGCCTTCACCTGAGACAGGGAGTGCACCTTCGGGAAGAAGCGCTGTCTTCCCAGGGAGAAAGAATGGGCTGCACAAACCGAGCGTGATCTGTTTTCACGTCTGTTATGCAGTCGCACACTGCAGTCGTAATAGTAACCATCTTCCCTATTTTGTGCTTCACTAGGGCATAGGCGGCCAATTGTGTCGCCAGTCTGAGTCTGGATCACTTTCTACTGACGGTTTTTAATAACTGAAGACATTTGCAGCTGGAAGGTGGCCAGCGGTGCTTGTGACAGAGCAGGGGAAGTGAAGGTGGGTGAGGGTGCTGACTCTGCCTGGGTCTGTGCTCCTCCGGAGGAGCAGAATCAGCCATTAAAAAAAATCAAACCATTGAGGCCGTGGGTGAAGGTCTGCGAGCTGTTTAATGTCATAATCTGCCTGCTGTCTCCATCATCAAACTGAATGGACTTCTAAGTCGAAATGTCATAAAGGCTCAGCATAAAGGTTTATAGAAGCCAGGTACCCGACCTACCGCCAAGCACGGCCGGTGGCAGGAAGTGTTTGTTATGTCTTACTCAACCTTTTGGGGGAAAAATAAATAAATAAATCCGGAAACGTGCTTGTCCTGGCAATGCTCAAAGCATTAAGAATGGATCCTCTTATCTGGATGGGGTGATCAGCCTCTGTAATAAACATATCCATTTCCTGTAAAAAAATAATTTTAATCCAGATTCCTTTCATGGAAAATGGTGTCATGTTTTCCCCCCTGGTATGTGGCCAAAATGGGAGAGGAACAATCCTTGCTAAAGATGAATTATTTTTTTTTTTCTGAAGAGTTATTTTATGTTGTCATTCTCACTTACATTTTGATCCTCCCTAAAATAGCACAAAACAAAGAAAACACAAGCCTGCGAATTTCATTACAGGGCCTCTTATAAATGTGTACTCAATGTAAAAATGATATTTTTTTGGGGGGGGTCAGATAGTCTTTGGAATTCCTCCTTTCTATACAATCCCGGATTATTTTAAAGTTGGTGATTCATATTACTCAACATAATGACATATTGTCCTGTTATAAAAATGTGAAAAACAGTTTCAAAGATGCGACAAGAGCTGTCTTTCTAGGTCAATTTACCAAATATTTACAAATGTCTCACTTACCAGATTATTAAAACAACGTCCATTAAATTCTTACAAATCCATAAGAGGTTATAAAACAGAAGAAAAATAAAAAAGACATTCGACACATTAGTTTCCAGGGAAGTGTACCCATTGGGGGGCAGAGAGCACATAATTGGTATGGCTGAAATTTAAAAAGACCAAAAGAGTTGGCAAGAAAAGACTAGAAGGAGTGAATCAGGGACAGAAGAACATGATAGGAGATCCCCAAACACAAATTGATAGATAGATGAAAGAGGATTGTAGATTTAGGCCACGCCCAAGAGCCAGAGGCCAGGATGGGAGAGGATAGAAGTAGCCAGGCATCGAGAGACTCCTGGGAAAGGTGGGAACCACGTACTTGAATCACCTACCAGACTGGAATATTTGCTCTTCATCTAAAAGCTATGAAAATCCAATAAAGTTTTTAAAGGCAGGAAATGTCACCAGCGAGTTCGGTGTTTGGAAGGACAACTGAGCAACACTGAGACACTACCAGGGAAACCCCGAGGATCAGGTGGTAAGCTGATTAAAAGAAAGTTCATGGTTCCTTCATGACATCCAGGACAGGGTTACCACCCTGGGGGGCGGGGGGGACCCAGGTTTGGAGGTTCCGCAAACATAGGTGTGCTTCTTCCTTTGAACTGTTTGCTTTCCTCCCTGAAAGTTGTCCAGCGTAGGATAAAGCTGAGGAAAGCTCCCAAGGAGGAGGACCGCATTATTTTATCCAAAACTTATCACGTTCAAAGTCATGTTCCTCATGGAGATGCGACCTTCCAGAAGAGGCCGTGGGAAGTGCAGGCTGGCCTGGAGATCTGACCATCTCAGACGGCATCTGCCAGGACCACGGCTCAGGCTCAAGGGGTTTATCATGGGAGTCGAACATGAGAGCATCTTCCAGAGGGAATGGGCACCTGAAAATGATCTAGACCCTATCCCTGGTAGGAAGCCCCTCCCCCATCAGGGTGTGGAGGGCAAAGGGGGGGGGTGTGCAATCTGGTTCCAGGAGCTGGAGGCTTTGAGGGGCGTCTACTTGGTGGGGAGGGACTTCCAGGAGATACAAAGCCACTTCTGGGAAAGTCCGTGGAAACAGAAATACGATGGTGCCATCCCTTTTCTCCTCCCTCTAATCTCGCGCCTCTGCTTCCACTGGCAGAAACCCACAGGAAGCAGTGGGTAAGGCATCCTGGGAAGGGGCGTCTGTGGTTCTCAGTCCACCCGGCTGCAGGCCAGAGCTGGGCTTCCTCTGGGAGGTTCCCGAGGGCACAGGAAAGGCCTACTGTTTGTTGATCCTGGCGTGCATTTCCGAGGGTCCACAAAGAACAGAGAGCCGGCGAGTGTGTCTGCTTCCCAGGAGAAGAGACCTGAGTATGGCATAGTGGCCTTAGAATGTCTCAAAGACGTCCCAAGAGTATCCTGTAACATGACTCAAATGTAGGAGGACAGTTTGAACAAAGAATGTTTAGTTTCCTTCACCGGAATCATGCTTCTGTTTTTTTCTCTCCACAGTAGGTGACCTGGGAAGTTTGCTGCATTGATAACTTAAACATGATCAGGACACAGAGGCTTTCTCAGTCACCTCCCAAGATCTGAAAGGAAACTCGGAACTTATGTCTCAAAGTTCTCTTGTCTACCAACAGAGATGATCTCATCGTGGGAGGAAGGGAGACGAGATCTTGGAGGAGCGGGAGCTTTGCAAAGACTTCATGAAGACAGGAATCGAAACACATCTACAGAGAGGCGACATCAACCCTGAGATCCGCTGTGATAATTAATAAATAATTGTGGCATTTTTAGGAAACAAATGAGCCATAGGACAGTGGGTAAAAGGAACAAGAAAATGACTCTTTCCACCTTAGGCCTTAGCCTAAGCAACTCTCCATTTTAAAACTCCAGTCTGAGACCTGCAATCTCACCAGGCGCAGCTACGAAGCCCTCCAGTATGGCCCTCAGGCAGACAATTCGCTCTCCTTGTAGAGTCAAGTCTCTGTCTTGTTGTCCTCCCTCCATAAGGGAGAGAGGCAAGAAAATCAGGGTGGGGACCACCGGACCAGATGCTTTAACCCCAGGGCAAATGACATCACTGAGAAATCTGGTGGCAGCTGACAGGGATTGAAAGGGTGGTCAGAAGCCCCCCAATGTAGTATAAATGATGGAGCAAGTGAAGGGACATTCAGCCAGCCGACACTGCTGCTCACAGTGACAGCCTGATGAAGACCCAGACTGACATCCCAGCTCTCCTCATCTGCCTGATCCTCTGGATCTTCTTCACCACTCTCAAACCCTGCAGCCACACCTTCATGACGAGAGCCATGACTTCTCCCTGCGACCCTCACCTCCACTGGCCATCAGCTCCACCCCAGGAGAAGCCTGCTTCGGTTCTTGATCTGATCTCCATGGTCTGAGTGGGTGTGCATCTGCTGGACGTAAAAACCTAAGGCTGGAGACTTCTGATCTGACTCTTGAGCTTAGCCTGCAGAGGGAATGTCTATCATGAGCCTGTCCTGATGAAGTGCGTTTACAGTGCTTAGAATTAATCTAGAATTGTTTGCTGTGACTTAATTATGTCTACTGCAGGGCCCAGCATGAAGGATGGTCATTTAAAGGGCAGGAGCGTGTGGACATTCTTTCTTTCTCCCCCTTGACTGCATAAGTCGCAGCTTTTGCCCATCAAGACAGCACCATCTTAGTCAGTTCTGCTGCCTGCCCTCTGCTGTACATCACAAGAATAGTGACCAGTTGCTCAAAAGCCCCCTCTCATCTCTGGCACATGGTGGAGTTCCCTCTTCCACATCTGTGTCTGCTGGTCTCCTTCTTCCCTGACCAGTCTCTGACTCTACCCATCTCTGATGACCTTTGGTTCCTTCGTGTTTATGTAATTTCTTACCCCCTGAATTTGAAGCTGTCTCCATCTCATCTTGTTGGTCTAGGGTTCAACTACAGGTAGGGGACTCTCTTGAGGGCGACATTGTGTTGGATAAATGGAGGGGGCGGAAAAACACAAAGAAACTAAAGTCATGATTCTTAGTTTCATGGAGATGATTAATCTTGAGGTTTTCTTGTACTTCTTTCTAATCATTTTTCATTTATAAGCCCTGATTGATGAGTTAAGGATAACAGCTAACGTATCTAACGACTCACTCTATAGAAAGTTCCATGGTAAACACTTGCCACACCATCTCATTTTTTCCCCCTGTTCACCAATGCTGCTGGTTATATTAGTGTCACCACTTGACAGAAGATACAACAGAAATGTAGAGGCTCTAGTGGCCTTAAAGTGGTGAAGTAGAAATCAGAATTCAGACTGCAGAGGTTGGAGAATAAGCCTGCAGGATTCTAGACCTCTAGATGACATTGGCATCCCAGCCCTTGTCCCCTTTCAGAATAACTGTGGGATGTGCAACGTCCCAAGATAAGGTGTTACTGTCCTGAACAACCCAAGCTCTGCTCCCGTCCCTCCTAGAACAGGATGTCCTATGACACTTCAGGTACTCCAGAGTATAAAACGCAGAGTGCAGTGCTTTTGCTCTGGGTTCACTTGTCTGCTGCCTGATACGGGGCATGCACAGGCAAGGCTCCATTGGTTCTGGATGGCTTTCCTAAACCTTGGAGGTCGGACTCACCACGACTCCTGGGCTTCTGGTGTCCCTGAAAGTACCTGTGAGTAATAAAGTTGTTTCACTTGGTTCACACTAGACTCTGGCAAGTGGTAGAAACTATGGCTCAAGATGCCGTGTGCCAAATCCAACTCTGATTCCTGCTGGTTGTACGGTGGTGATCTTTGCTCTTCAGCATGCTGTGGGAGTCTCCCCCCTATGACCGGTAGCTGGTGCACAATGAACCCTTCTGCACGGTCTGTAGCTCACAGCGGGCCCCGCCCACCTGCATTCAGAACCCTGCACCAGGTGCGTGGGCTATGGACTGCCAGGCGACTGTGCCAAGAACTCCCACACCACACATAGCCAGGAATGGTTCTGGGACTGCAGGGGCGGGGGGTTCTAGTCTGGTTGACAAGACTATACAGGTTGGAAGAGATAGAAAATGGCAAAGTTGCCTACAAGGTAAAAAAAAAAAAAAAAAAAACCTTAAAGAAAAGTATGGTTAGGTTTAGCTCTGCCTCCCCAGTGGGAGAGACTTGGAGAATATGATGCTTTAGCTGAGTCCTGGACTTTAGCTCAGCGGTCAGGGGGTGAAGGATGATGAGGGGCGGAGGCAGCGTGAGCAGGCTGAGTGCGGTGCAGTGGTGCAGAGCAAGCTGAGCATGAGCGAGGGCCTGGGGGAAAGGAAAGTAAGAAGAAGAGTGTGCGTGGAGACGAGGCTGGGAAATGAAGGGTCCTCTAGGAGAACAGCACCTCTAAATGCTGGTGACAGCAGAAATAAGCCCCAAAAGACATGGTGTGTGTGTGGGTGGGGGGGGGCTTGGCTCCCTCTGATGAGAAGCAGACATTGCCCTGACAGCAATGAGTCCACAGAAAAAGATGTTAAGCAGTTTTTGATGTTTAGAAAAGCAAACCAGAGCAGCAAGACTAGAAGAGCACAAGGCAGAGGAGATGGGCCATGGGAGACGGAGGACCTAGAGGGGACAGTAGGGTGGGGGGTCTTCGGAAGAGGCCCGGGACGCGGAACCCAGAGCATTGCTACCCTAAGGGCTCAGAAAAAGGAGGAAAGGAAGAAAGGGAAGGAGGGGAGAGGAAAGGGAGGACAGACAGACAGACAGATGGGCCAGCAGTAGCAAACCTTTCTAACCTGAGTTACCAGATGGATTTGAGCATCATTCTTCAAACTAAGAAGAGGGGAGAAAAAAAAAATACTGTGTTAGGAGAAATGTCTTTTTCTCTTGTCTTCCTGCCTTTTTCTTCCTGTGTGTCTTTAAACTTGCATCTCCCATTTTCTCACCCCCTGAGGTCAGACTTGGAGGCGATGGTTTCTGTTGTATTATCGATAGGGTATGAATCTACATTCCTTCAAATGTCGTTCTCACCCAATTCTAAAGAAGTGAATATCCCCTGGTCACTTCAAACATTCTATTTTTTTTTTTTTTGAGTATTAGCGCAAGGAGTTACAAAAATTGACAACACAAATCAAAGAGAGATCTGAAGGCAGTTAGCACGTACAAGCAGGAGTGATCTGTGTGAGGAAATCGTCAATGGCCGACCAATTTCTGGCTCGGGTGTCAGTGATACGAATTAGGTTTGACTATTTAGGAAGATAATAATCTGGGGGGTAACAGGTATTTATTTGGGGGCTGAGTTTGTGGTTGCCTTTGGGTTATCTGTGGCTTATCTGTGGGTTTCTCCTAGGCAGACAGATATTGGGTTCTTCAACAGAGAGGCAGACAGAGGTATGGGGGACATCAGCCAATAGATTGTCAGTGTCACATCCAGAACATCATGAGGCATTCAGATGGAGGAGACCCAAAGCAGAACTTTACGGATTATCATGTTTACACTCAAGCAGGGGAAGGGAGATGAGCAGGAAATTTGTGAAAGGAAGTCTGGGGAACAGGAGATCCAAAGGAGCTTAGTTTGTATAAACTAAGGAAGGATAAACGTGAAAGAAGGACCAGTCCCGTGCAGTAGAGGTTCATGGTGTTGAAGACTGAAAGAACACATTGTATTGGGCTACAAAGGGACCATTGGTGTCTTTTGACACAGCAAATTCGGTGGAATGCCGGGCATGGAAAGTTGTTTGCAATAAATAATAAGGAAGTCCATGAAGTCTCTGTATGTGGAACAGGGTTGCCTCTGGGAAAACTTGCTTCAAAATCCAGCAGAGTAAGAGGTGGTGGTGGTGGTGGTGGTAGTGGTGGGGGTTTCTACTCTTCCTGGATAGAGTCTGCCAAGATTGTTAAGGGTGGTTGGTGGCAAGGAGCTAGAAGTGTCCTTGTTCACTGGCTCGTGGAATTTATGCAATGAAGCTGCGGGTTAAGGATGGGGCAACCACATCAAAGCCTCGATAGCAAAGTTGATTATAAATAATTCCATCCACCACCCCACAAAGATCCCAAAGTATTTCAGTCTGTCCAAAGAGTTCCAATACCCAAACCACAAAATAGCCCAGGGACGTAATGGCAATCCGAGGCTGTGTACAAATGAGATTAGCCCATGTGCCCGTCTACTCCTGCTCCTGCTTACTGACCCCAAGTCTCTCCAGTAACATCAAATCCCTTTAATATCAGGGAAGTAGGTTCCATCTGGGAATGTTTAGATGTTTTAGTGATAGCCTTAGGCTGAGATAGATGGTAATATCGACTGAAATGAGATTCGCTGTCACAGGAAATTCCAATGGCCTTGCTTTCGTGGGCCCCACTTTTTTTAAAATTTTTTGAAGCCGGAGCAAGTATGTGATAACTGTGAGAACAAATTAGGCACATCACCCCGATCGTGGGTGGAGAGTCAAGATCCTCGTGGTGTCGCCTAACCTGAACCTCCACTTTTAGGCACGCTGCTGGGGAAGACCCTCTGTGGAATCACGGTTCATGGTCGACTGATCTGCTATTAATACGATTTCTGTTGCCCTTATGCGCTTGGGCCCTCCATGGGTAATTCCTCCCAAACCTTCAGCATGTTATCTGAAAGGTCTCCCCGCCACTGCATCAATGCAAACCAGACTCTACACAGACGAACAAAGGGAATTTAACTTTCATAAGTTGGTTTTAAAAATGCATTTACTTTGAGAGCACTGAAAGAATCTAAAAAAAGATGAAAAGCATCTTTAGCATGCCAAAAACATCTGGTTTCATATTTTCAGACCAAAAGGGAAATTGCATGAAGACTAAAAAATCTTATGTTTTGATTTATATTATTATTGGAGGGCTGAGAAGCTGCCAGTCACCAAGTAAAATTTTATGATGATAAATAAATAAGGAAAACAATCTGACAAAACACGTTGCGGAACAAAGCGGCATTTCAAGTTTAATTAACTGATAACAATGTTTATGATAGAAGAACCGTGCCTCCAATTATACAGTTAGTGAATGTATGCTCCCAGTGAGAAGCCAGGCCCATAAAAGTGGATAAAGGGCTTTCCCTCAGCCTAGGATTTTAGCCTACCCCAGCAAAGTTTCCCTTTCTGGAGCAAATCGTGCCTCCATTATGATTTACTGAGCACAGGCCAGAGTCACGTCGAAGACAGGGCACCTCTAAGTAACACATCTCAGATCTCCCATTGAATGATAGTAGCAGCCGTATTTTCCTAATCAGCTGAGTGGTGGTGTCTCCTGGAAGGACAGTCAGGGGAAGACAGGGAAAAACAGCAAAGAAGAGAAGACAATGTTTCATCTTTTGAGGGGTATGCTTTTCCCTACCCACTAAAACCTCAGACCAAATTCTAACAACGTGTGCTAGCAGACAGGCTTTCATGGTGCCTCCAGATGAGCCGTGGCTGCAGGTAGAAGTTCTCCTTGCTGTTTGGAATCTTGCATTTAGAAAGCATCCTACAGTCGGGTCGCTGCGATTCAAAGACATGAGGATCACAGCGCGTGTTTGTTCCCAGTGGAAACTGTTTGCTTTCATTCTACCACGGGGACTGTCGCCTGCCACGTTGCAGCCCCGATGATAGTTTTAGAGGGACACTTTTTCAGAGCAGACCTCGTACGTTGATCTGCCTCCAACTGCTGAAGGAGGGAAACTCAGGCTGATAGGGAGATGACTTGACGTCCAATCTTCCTTAGCTTTTCTGGAGCACTGAACTACTGCCGGAGCTTAGGAAATGTTGAAGTCCCCCGACTTCAGGTGCATTAGCCATTCGGCCCACACCCCAGAGAAGGCTTTCAACAGCAATAAGCGTCAAGACGCTCTCCGTCTCTCGGACAGTGAGCTCCACAGGAAAATAAGATCCGTTAGCACATTAAGCAATGCATTCCAAATATTAGGTAGTTTCCCCCATGGATGCCTAATGGAATTTAAAATACATACATATCTGATAGTAAGGGGTGTAGTATTCAATCAAGGGCTTTTGTTGGTAAAACTCAATATTCTGTACTCAGACAAAAGGCCTGCAGAATGCAGAACAGTGGTGGAAAATTTCTGGAACTTCAAGCTCGGATACAGTTGCCATCAAAAACATTCTAAAGTGCATTTGTTGATTCAAGAGGAAGCACCAAGCGTTTGGAATTTGGGGTTTCCTTGAATCTGTTCACATTTGTGCATAGCAATTTCCTGAGTGGTTGTTTTTCGGGGGGTGGTGGCTGGAGGGGGAACCAGGAGTTGAACTCAGGGGCACTCAACCCCTGAGTCACATCCTCAGCCCTGGAAGGAGCATTTTGTAGTTCATTTAGAGACAGGATCTCACTGAGTTGCTTAGCGTCTCTCTTTTGCTGAGGCTGGCTTTGGACTCACCATCCTCCTGCCTCAGCCTCCCGAGCTGCTGCCATTACAGGCGTGTGCCACCGTGCTCGGCCTATGCATGTTTTATTTAGCTCTCCTCTGCTTGTATCCATTTGCTCATGAGTTCATTTCCTGCCATTTCTCTCCTTTCATTAAAACGATTACAGTCGATTCCATTTGGTTAGGAAATTTTGTGTTTCTCCTCTTTGGATGCATACTGTAATGTCGCCCCTTTCTTTAATGAATAGAGGCTGTTCCATATGCAAAGGGGAGGTACCGGTTCACTTCACGTCTGTCTGTGTGCATGTATGTGCATGGAAAAGTTAACATCCTGCCTTCAACGCTGTTGGGAATTACTACTGG